CCCCATCCTTTCATCTCAATGGGTTGAAAACTCAATTCGTAAGCAGTTTTGGCGGCCCCAGTCCGAAATGAGTGAGCTCTTTTTTTCCACAGAAAGCCACTGTTTTCTTCAAGTTCGCGTTTGAAATTGCTATGCATTCAGTACAGACCCATGAATGGGCAAAAGAGAGGGCCAAGGCCCGATGGACGACATGATACATACTCGTGCAAGGTTGTTAATGGATAAAAATCCGGGTTGTTGGTGGCATTTAGTTGAATTCTTTGAGGGGAGTCGGTTTTGTTATTTTCACTGTATGGGAAGGAAGTCGGCGCTGATAAATGGGGAACTCCATTTGCCAACTCGATGTGAGATAGACACAACACAGATTCTTATAACTTGAAATGTATGAAACCAAAGAGAATGCACACACCACGGCAGCTATAGTAAATGCATGCATGTACCTGTACATGTATATGTACAGTAGTTTTGTTTCATACTGTGCAGAGTACGTGGATTTTTCTTCCGTGCATGCACACGTGGATTCCTCACTACCTCAAACTCGGCCGCAGAAAGTCTATGTCCATGGACCAGAAGCAGCCATGGACGACAGTGATAAATATTCCCAAACCAAAAATCAAGAAAATATAATTTTCACAGGTGTTCAAGAAACATATCAAAGGAAAGCTCACTTCCTCATCTTTCATTTCCCTTCCAATTTTCAGTGGACCAACCGGTGACTTTTGAAAAAATTCTCTTCAGAGAAAACCCACCGCTCAAAACAGTCACGAGGCCATCGCCATTTTGAAAATTGATGCCTACACTCTATTGCAAAATACAGCAATTAGGAGGGCCCTGATAATTTCCTAAAATACAAGGTGGCAGTCCCACTCCCACCCCAGGATTTTATCCACCGTACAATTCACGTGCACAGACTCTAGTACTAGCAGACTCTAATACTTGCCCGCTTTGGCAATTATTGTCATCTTTACTGGCCAGCAACATGCAGCTGTACATGTGTGTGCATTTTACGAGGGCATCCTAGGATTGACCATACACTCTGACACCGAATGAGGTCTCAAAAAACCACGATTCTTTTTACCTCATACGTTTCAGTCATGGCGACATTACAACTAAATGATTTTTGACCCAAACCGATAGTAAGATGCGCCCTCGGAGTCTCAATCAAGTCTCGTGCGTGAGACCGTGGTGAGACACTGCAGCTTATGACGGGAGCAAAATAGGGGCTGTAGTAATAATGATTAAAAACAAATTAAAAAAAAAATCGACAACATTTACATGACGATCTACCACTCACTCCGTATGATTTCAAATACATTTTCATACTCAAAATTATATAAACTTTTTCATCAAAACGTCTGTTTAATCTAAACAAATGCAGTTTTTCCGTGGTTGTAAATTGGCGGAAAACTCAACAATTTTTTTTCTGGGGGGCGGGGCAAGTGTTGCACCCTATCCTGTTAGGGAGTCAACTACAAAGGCGTAGAAAAATGCATGTGACGTGATGGGTTCGTCAACTGCGCGGCTGGGGCATAGTATAGTGCCGGAGAGCTCGCCAGAAAAGTGGAGTCATATTCGTGGAAGTTCCTTTTTTTTCTTAGGACTTATTTACGAACTAATTTTCCCTAAATCAAGAAACCCTTCATCATGTCACAATGGGTCCAGTTAAAGAATGGATTTTTTGCGTGGTAACTTTTTATCCTTGATTTGTTGCGATCCTATCGGAACCGCTTAGACCAATTCTGAACTAGGAAAAGTGTTGTCGTAAATGCCACCGATCCTGCGGGAATTTTTATCGACAATTTTGAAAATAACTTAATTTTAATGTAGTGTAAGGACGTGCGCGCTGGAAAAACCAGAGGTCACGACCCACCGACCTGTAATCTGAATTCAAATTAAGATGTAAGTTTTACATCGCACTTGTCGTCAGCAGAGGAATTTTCTGTGACGTAAAATTGACAGTGTAATTATCCTGCAACCCCGTTGGCCCTGTAAAAATTTCGCGTCGGGAGGGTAACTGCGATCGACACTTTACAATTTACACATTTTGTTGGAACTGGCAGCAGTCTCCGAAGGTGCTACCAGAGAAAGATACAGTGCGATGACGGCTAAAAGAAAAGGCGCAACCGCTTCTGCTTTGAGTTGTTGAGGTCATTGCTCTCAGACCCGCACCAGTCCTGTTCTAATGTACATTTACTTCTATAGCGGTAGAAACCTTTTTTTTCGCGATACGCACGCCAACAAGTTTCGCTTTGGCTGCATGTTATTCATATACATGTACCTGTACAGTACCCACAATCACCCTTACTGTTGAAAACGATTTTGTTTGAAAAGGCACATACGCATGTTAATGCAATTGGCTATTATTACTCAATGTATTGAACTCGCTAAACAAATTTATACTATCCACGATTCATGATGTAAAGGTCAGAGTATACTGTATTAATATAGGACTCAATTACTAATATTTGTAGGCCACAAAGCCTAACCGGCCGAGTTTTCCCCATGACCTGAGTAATTGATGTGTGTTGGGGGCATCAACGACCTCAGGGTAATGGGTGTTCAAACTATGACGGGTCACATAAGTTGTCTGTCATTACTTGATCTTAAACAGTGCAAGTGAAACCCATACAGTACATAACAACAGTACTAGTACTACACGTATAGAGTGATCCACCTGCGACATCACTTCTTAAAAACTTGGCACACGGGAAAGTTGGGACTTTGAGTATACACCGTTATATGTACACATACACCGAGCCCCGGAAATTTGCGCAAGAGTGTAACCATGTCTCTGAGGCAGTTATACAAAATTCCTAGAGAAGTGTTGGTTTCGTTTGACGATAAGTCGACAAGCATAATGCCTACAAAACTCATCAAAAACGTGAAACCCGGCATAGAAAGCGGTGAGAGGGTGGAAGTGCTATGGGAAGGGGAATACCTTCCGTGCGAAGTTCTCCGATTTTCAGGTAAGTCAACATGAACTCTCAAACTTTTTGCCTCCACTTTTATTGTTTTAAATGGCTTTCTCAGCCAAACAGAAAGTGAAAGTACTATAGATGCTGTTGAAGGTCTCTACAATATGTCTCAATCATTTTTAAGTATAAGAGAAATTGCGCTGTTGTTTTAAATTGCCGCTGCCAATGTAAATAATGAGAAAGAAATGCTCATGGTGTGGTTTTGCATACAGTTATTTCAATTTCGAATCGTTTTGCCTTCTTCACTTCTGCATAGACGACCACTCTGATCTGCTTTTTCTACAAAGAGCTCTTTCGAGGACCAAAGAAACCGTGGCTAAGGTAGGCCAAAGTGTGTTTTATGTACCTCCAAGGGGCAAGTTCCAACCGCGTTTTCGCTGACTTGGTTTGTGTAAAGCGCATCTATCCCACCCAGGTTGACTTCGGATGGAAATTTGTCCGGCGTATCGTGAATAAGTCTAGGAACAGCCGTAAACGTTTGATGTTTGTATCATTTGAAAAATTCTGAACTCTTCTTCACTGAATTCATAATAGAATTTCCGGAACAAACTTCGAAAAAAAAAGCCTCTTCAAATCCTCCACATTTAGAATCTTTTAAATTCCTGTGATGCTCGCCCTTGCCAAAACTTGCTTCTGCTTGTTTCATTCCGGGATAAAACTTTCCGTCCAGACAAAGTGACTAGGACTATTTTTGTTATCTATTTATTTTTGGTACGACGTTGCCACGAGAGTCCACGTACGGTATTTTGTAAATGAGTTCCAACGCCTCAGTTAATGGGTCTATTCCCGGGTCGTAATTGAGCAGACTTAAAGGGAAATGGCAAGTTCATGGATGAATTTCAAACACCAGAATGAAGCATACATTTTCACCTATGTCCTCCCAGGGCTACCCATAAGTTTGGTCTAATTTCATAGTCGCAGCTTATGCTTCATCTATTTAGGTTCAAGGGACGAATGAGAAAAGAAAAACGACAGATGTCCAAGATGCAGAAACTGCCAGTGCCAGAAATTCCAAGACAAAGGCAAGTACATGTATACAAGGGTATTAACGGGAAACACCGTCATAGTAAAGTCTTAGGAACTTGCTACAAATTAACTTACTATCTTGTATATTTTGTAATGGAAATCATAGAAAACAATAGACTTGAGACATAAAAATTGTGCATGTTATAAGTATAACCCAATATAAACAGTTTCCCACCCGAACTCGACCGTGCGTAATCATGAACAAAATCAAATTGCTACGCGTCTTTAGACGCATAATACATAAATTCGTGAAGATTTTTCTCGTTTAATAATGTAAGTACTATTCTGAAAATGTTTGGTAATGGTTCAAAGGACCAGTAACATAGAAAGGGCTCGTGCATGTACCGGTTTTCCTCATCAGGTACGAAGAACAACTGAGAACCCCCAAAAGCCGCAGGAACAAACTGCACAGACGTCTGGAGCATCAAAGATAAAGGTAAGAGTATACATCTACTCCACGTACAAGGCAAACACCCATGACTCGGGGAAAAAAAACTTAGGTCTAGTTTCATTTTGTTAAAGTATCAGAACTGCTGAATGTTTGATGAAGTGTTAAAACGAAGGGTGGGGAGGCAGGATAAATAAAACAATAAATGGCTTGTAATTGGGAATGTATTGCTTTCATCAGGTTCAAACAAATTTAAAGAAGAAAGGAAAAACGCAGAAGGTCAAAGAGGCGAGAACTACTGGTACATCAAAGGTAACGGTTATTTTAGGAAATTCACACACACAATATTGTAAACGTTTCTCAGGGGAAAAGGTTAAATTTTTTATTTAAACCATAAGAGTGTCACTTTCATTTTTTTGCAAATTGTCATATTTCCATAAGTTTAAAGGACGCTTTCCCCGCCGTTAATCGAACATGAACACACCGCTCGTGTTTAGTACGTGTTCCATCGCCAATAACTGTGTATCATGGTAATGTCTTTTCCTGACAGGCAAAGAAGTTGCAGAAAAGGCCAGCTAAGGTAAGTAAATGTACATGTACACGACAGCTGCTTCCCATTTGCACTTTATAATAATTAGCATATTCGTGTGTATGTGCACATGGATTACGAAATTCTCACATTAAGATCTTCCCAAATCTCACATCATTTTAGAAGAAAAAGATTAATAGGAGGAGGGCCTAGGAATCCTGTGGGAATCGAAGAATCAAATCAATCATGCCTCCAAAAGGTGGTCAATCTATTGACTTGGTTTTGCCTCACTGATGACCGCACCAAAATTAGCCATGTCAGTTTTTCGTACGTCTGTAGTGTCATAAGGGAACGACCACTGGTTAATCACTATCATTTCAAAATTGAGGTTTTCCGAGTTGGTAACTCGGATTCATTTAAACGGGAGGAAGGTGGCCGGGTATTAGAACTCCTTCTAATATTCTAGCTTTGGTCTAAAACTGCCAACACAGAATACAGAAAAACTTGGAAATATGTACAAGCATGCTTTGAAATGCACACTTTACATGTAAATATTTTGCACCTTAAATTAGGAGAAGAAGAGAGCAACTGTCCTGGCTCGGTTCTGTGTTGACGATGACGATGTAGAGGCTGTGGAAGAGCAGTTGGTGAGTTGGAAAATGTTGATGTACATGTACAGTTGCGCGTTAATAAGAGCAACGACAATACAAGATTGTGAATACAAGATCGTGATACCGGTGTATTATCATTCCTTATAATACATGTATACAGTTTTACAAGGCTCCTGTTGAAACATGGGCATTTCCCAGTCCAAAGGACCTCTTACTAACAAGGTCAATTGAGCATGTTGATATTCTTCCATAGAGTTATGGAAATTCTGCCACGTCAAGGCAAACTACAGTACATGCCGTCCACAAGTTAAGTTGAGAAACTTCTCACTTCAAACTTTACTGGAGATCACGCTTCAAAACCCTTTAAATGGCATTATACATGTATTTCATCTGTGGGCAAAGCGTTTGACGTCTTTTAACAAAGGTCCATAATTTGCATTTATCTGTTATCAGGAGAGGCTTGAACCACCCCAATCACCTAGGGACCACCACGGGTCAGAAGAAACAGACGGCCCTGTTCTAGCACTTGTAAGTGGTACACTCTAACTAGTACTACACAAGTCAGTGCTACCGAAGTACCAGGTTATTTTCAATCCACAAAAGAGTCGTCCTTGATTTTTTAATTAAAAAATTATCCCTTTTGCATATACATGTATAGGCCCTAAAAGCACTAAAAACACTGAATTCAAGGAAATCCGACCTTTTGGAACAGTGCGTGTCGAGTACTTGTGTTTAAATCATTGAGATACTATGTTGTCTCGTTCTGTTTCTTTAGACTGCAGATGATGATCAGGCTGCTGAAACCCCGGCCCGTACCAGCTTAGGGTCACCGGATACTATAAGTCCCGAACAGGTATGCACCCATGATACACTTTTAATAGGCCTACTCCCAAAAGGTAATGCTAACAGTAGAGTCAAAAACACTCAATCTTGAGCGGGTATGTGGCCAAAAATAAGGCATAGACTTTCATTCAAGAGAGGACACGTCAAGCAATATCCAATAATGACAGTCTATCAAAATGACATTATTGATCCTTATTTTGATTGAAACCTTTGCTTATATGTACGTGTAAGGACCATTTTGAAAAGTAGATACTGCAGTCATCAACTTCATTGCTACGTCATTGCATGCCAAATCGAGCCACTCAGCAGCCAATAGCCAAATTGTCTGCCTGTGTTAGCAGATATAAAGTTCATGTATGTACATGTAGATGTATGACATATTTTTCAACTACGTGTACATGTGTATTTAAAGGCACCGTTTCACACGTTACACGCTTTCTGTTGGCAGATACCATACTTCCCGGAGCTCAGTTTTCTATCCGATGAAATGAACAGCAACATGGGAAGCCCCCTAAAAGTAAGCATTCCATTTGACAACAATGGGAATATATGAATTTTTGTTTATTTCATCCTTACTGGAGACTGCACAAGTATATATTTCGCGGCATTCACACAGATTCCTTCCCTCTCCGAAATGAGTGAACAGAGTAAAAACTACATAACTCTGCCAGGTTTGGGGATTTGCAATCCAATTTAGGAGTGGAATTTAATCACAGTTCCACGTATTTCCCGAATGGGCTATCTCTCACTATAAAAACAGCACCAATCTTGTGGTAGGCCACAGCTCTCTCCCACTGGTCTGTATCTAAACATGAGAGATATGTGAGTTGTCATGATTGCATAATGTCACTCATTAGCCTAATGCAGTCTTTCCTTCATTTGCTTCACAGGATTCTTGGTCCCCTGCATATAAAACAAGTACTCCAGCCAAAACACCGATGGCAAGAATTTCAGTAACCGATTTGGAGATGTTTCGTAAAATGGCGAGTCAGATTGACGACTTGTGGAAACACAAGTTCGTCCCTGACTCGCCATCAAAGCGTTCATCTCCAGTCCCTCAAGTGACACCACCACGAATGGGATCATCAAGGCCTGCCTTATCTAATACCGCTTCCACCCCCTCAGACCCTCCAATGAATCTCTCGTCTCTTTCGACGGAAATAATAGCGGACCATAAAGACAGCTCGTCCTCTGAGGCGAACTTTGCGCTTTCGTTGGTCCGTTTATTATTTTCGAAGGAAGAGATGAAGGCAAGTAATTGTAGGGGCGTTAGGGGGAAGACGAAGCTTGACCCAGTAAGATTGAACCACATTAAAGGAATTCTGAAGGGTCGAACATCCCTCCCTCCAGAAACGTTTGAGAAATACTGGAGAAGAGATTGCTTTAAAGCCATTGATGAGGGGTGCAGACGACTTAATCGCTCCAGATCCTTATTGTAATTAGTACACTTCAGGTATGATTAATAGCTAGCTAAAAATATAGCTACCACCAATATAAACTGTCCGGTTTCTGGTCAGCATCTTGCGCCAAAAGTGGTGCGGTAACGCATTTTGTAACCCTCATCTTTTTTTCTGGAATTGATGTACATATACATTGTGTACAGCACGGGTTGTCCATCGCGACTGTAGTAAAATTAATATTGAGACATCATAAATTCATACGGATTCCTTGGATTGAATTTCATTATTTCGCGTACTGAGACTGATTTTGGGGAAAAACTAACATTGAATACAAGTGCAGTTGTACATGCACACCGATTAATTTGACAAATTAAATTATTGTTCATTTTGGCTTTCCAGATTTTTGCCCTCACCTTTTTGCCGGCTGTTATTGATTTGTAATCTTCCCTACACACTGTACATTGTAATTACTCCGTTTTGGTGCTGTGACTGTACATTTTCATTTTGAAGATGTTTTGTTTATGCAGAGATGTCCAGTATTTGACAGTTGATACTGAATCTTTCTCTTGGGGAACTTGAGAATGACCTTACATATTTCATTTTTAAAGTATCTCTCAATACCAACGCATTCTACAAAATTCTTGTAATGTACATGTAGGTCATAGTTACGATCAGGTGTTGCAAATGTTACGTTATTTTATGAAAAACAAAGACAGACCTGATAAAGTTTTATTACAATGAAAGAGTTGCAACAACGGTCTGTCATCCTGTGTAAAGGTCGACATTCTTCCTTTTGACAACACCACTATACACGATTATGAGGTAGAAATCAACAGTTAACCGAAATTGTATGACGTCAAAATATGTTTAAAAAAATGAATAAAACTGTTTGATCGTAAAACAATGAACACCCAAATTCGGAGTGAACTTTAATTCACTCCGAACTATGTAGAAACATTTGTGGTCATGTTAATTAGTTACCTGATTTAATACGCTGACCACAAGACGGCCATAGTTGATTTTACAGCCCATGCTCTCAGCAAATACAATGTATTACATGTAGTCCATGAACAGCTGTTGAAGAAATACCGACTGTCCATTTTCTAAAGTATCTCACAGAACCAGAATTTCTTAACTTAACCTGAGCTCTCCCAGGAACACGTGGCCGTTGTCGTGTTTTGTTACGGATGGCTATAAATATTCAGATTGCAGCGGCTACAAAGATGCTTGTACCTTACTCCAGTAAAATGTGGTCAGTAATCAACTTTGTGAGTTGGAATTCGGGTTCTTCAAAATTCTTTTGAAAATGTAAGCTTTTAGTTTGGACTTTACGGATCGACGAACATGACGACGACGGCTTTCCTAGTTCTAGATCGGTTTAACCAGTTCCGAATCGCAACATATACACGTTCTTCTTCACAAATAAAGAGTAAACACGAGGGAAACTGTTTATGAAAAAAACTGATTTTTCATTGAAGAATTTCTTCATTTAGAGAAAAATCAATTCATATCTTGGGACATCACTGAATTAAAACGTACAACTTCCGTAACTTTCAATGTTCAGCTGTACATCAAGATAAAGGGGGGCCTATTCTTGAAGTGTATTAATATGTTATGTGGAGTATTTATGACCTTGGGTCATCCTTTCATTTTGAAAGCTTAGTTTTGGAAAGCTATACAAGTGAACTGTGTACTTGACTTAACGAGAATGTTTCATGTGCATTCGATTTGCTACGAATTTCTACCGTTGATTGGTATTGATTTTTCCCCAGAATCGAAGTTTTTTATCCTTACGCAACCCTCTATTTTATACATATTTTTCTGTATTTTGCATATGCTGCTGATTTCATTCCTGCTATAGTTCTACCTACATGTATGGTAGCGTATATTCGGCATTCGTCCCCGATTTGACATAATAGACTGGAAAAGGACCAGGACATCGTTAGTACTGCCATTAGGGCGGATGAACCGTCCGGGAAAGAACAATTTACTGGATATCAACTGGATAGCCACAATTCCATCAATGCACTTCCCAGGCTACACGTATTTTCTAAATTTCATTATAGGCCTACATGTACATATGCATTTATAGAGGCCCTCTAGTCCTACATGACAGTTACATGCTGGAAATTCGTGGACAGTTCCGGCTGTCGGTGATCCCTGCCATATATCGACGGACCTGCAACTGAAAGAAAAAAGTTCATGTCAAGTAATCTGTTTTTATAGTACTTGAAAGGTTTGGAATTACTTTCTACTGTTGCTAACAATAACAAAGGAATCGTTATTCGGGAATGTGTAGGCTTACACCACGGTCTCCTTGTAGTAGTACATTTTATTTAGGAAGCAACCGGGTTATCGAAATGAAAGTAAGAATACTATAATGTCCCAATTTACGCCTATCCTACGAATAGGCTACTTTTTAAAACTTATTTTAAATACATGTATGTCTCGTGTA